GTTACAGTGCAACTGACAACAAATGGTTCGCAACAGAATGTGCCGCACAACATACCACTTGCGTCACTACACCGCTGCAAGCAGATACTGCTAATGAAGCCCAGCTGTGTCAAAGCCTACAATGTCGACCAATTTACAGCACACCGACGCGCACACCAAACGCATCAACATCGACACTCACAGCAAGCACCTGGCAAGCACATCGTCCACAACACCGGACATACCTCAGGGCTCACGCAAGGCAGGGAAGCGCAAAGGCCCAGATCAAGTGGACAGTGCGATATTAGAAGAGATAGGGAGGGGAGGCAGCGCGAGAGGGATAGAAATTACACATACTGTCTAAACCCAGGCCCATGTCGTCCCCTATCTCCCTGTGTGTCCAAGTGCACAGATGACGTCACACGAAGGGGCGGAGTCGGGGGCGGAGCCTGGCGCAACGGCCGCCATATTTGAATTTGTTTTATTAGAATGTATTCTATATTTTGGGTTTCAGTCAATTGTTATCGATAGTTTCATGAACGGTTAGCTGTAATATAAGTGATTTATCAAGAAAAAAACACTTATTCTGCTTGCAATTTCGATTTAAGTACGACCCGCCCCTAGATTCGAACGCACGATCTTTGGATTACGGCGCAAGCATCCTAACCACTACACTACCGCGGCGGCGTGGCGGCCGGCGGAAGGGAGGCTGCGGAGGCATGGGGGCTTTTTTACGCATTTTTGGAAAAACTAATGGGTTTAGTGAAAAACGATTCTTAGATAATTCAAAGAAAAATGTCTCGGCTTTCCGATGATGCACTTAGTTTTGAGCTAGCTTAAGCAGAGTTTGTTCTACAACGCTTCAAAAATCGCCCATTTGCATAGGACTTAAACGGGACTTCAAGACTTGCCCCCAGATGACGTCACGAGCTGACGTCACGATCAGGTAGAATCGCCGGACGACCCTACCTGGTATATAGGGCCTTGTCTAAACCTGTATGCCGAGTTTCAGCATCGAAGCGAGTCAGCGATCAAAATCATTAAGCGCAAAATCAACGACCTTCTTGATGAATATCTCATGAGTTTTGAGTAGTTGACCGATGCGAGATCAACATGGTTTCTGGTCCGTGGAAGTTGTACCGTTCAGTTTTTATTAAGTTGTACTTTTCACGTGCGATTATTTTCGTGCCAGAGCAGACCAGTATTTTGCTCGTCTTAGTTTTTGGACGACCGTTGACTGTTCCTGAAGCACACGCTGGCATCACAATTGTGACGTAATGGTGTCGAGTCGTGAATGTCGTACAAATCGTGGGCTTTCTCAGTGTTCCTCTTGAAGGAAGTGTTGGTGTAATGGCTTACCGAAACTGTTCCTGAAACATACTCCCGCGTCAGCTGCGACGCCATGGTGTCACAGAGTGGTGATTATCGTACAACTAATGGGCTTTCTCGTAGTCTTATGGGAAACGATTGTTAAAATGCGTTGTCGAAAATGTCATCGACCTACACGCTCGTTGGTGTCACATATTGGTTATTTACCTACGAAGACTCCCATTTGAAACAGTCTTCCTTTTGTTGGAAACGTTTGTTGACCTGGGTTACTGTTGCTGAAGTTGTTACTGAAATACATTTTCGTTTCATTAAAAAAGAAAAAAAATGTGCAGACCAGGAAGCGGCCGCCGCTTCATATTCGTAATGAAGAACATGTTAAGTGTCCGTATGCAAATTTTGACGGATATAGTAGGGGCTCGCCCAAATGGTCTTAATTTGCGTAGTCTTCATTTGCAGTGTACCTACCTACTTCATTTAAGTTTCACAGGTACTGTTTGACTATTGACTCTGTAGGTACTTACTTTATTTTGATTGCATGCATGTGTCTGCATCCGATAATTTTGAAACGGTGGAACTTTCTATGTAGGTACGAGGGGCGTTCAAAAAGTTCTCGGCCCAACCATGAAGGAGTTGGAATTTCGGCCTGCAACGCGGTGTGTTAAATGATGTGTTATTGGGATGTCCACTTACGTTGCCATTAACCAATCTGCCCTGTGATTGGTTCAGGCTGCTAATTAATTGTAACATAGTTTGCTATTCCCGGTCAGAATGGGTGACGCCCAGAATGGAACAGTGATTTGGTTCATGTATTGCAGAAAAATGCACCAAACGTTATTCACGAAAAGCTAGTGCCAACACATGTTGAGGTTTGTCTTTCTTACAGTAACGTCAAAAAGTGGGCATCTCTGTTCAATTTTGGTCAACAGATCATTAATGGTCACCCCCCGCAGTGGCCAGCCATCAACAGCATTGACTCAAGAAAATATGAAAAATAAGCACTTCTTTGTGAAAAATGACAAATGTTCTGGTCTGAAACAACGCAGCAGAAGCGGAGTTGTGTATCAGGTTCCTCAACGCCATTCTTCGACAGCGCATTAATATGTTTAAGATCTCTGCAAGGTGCATCCCCCGTTTGCTGACTCCAAAGGAAAGGCAAACTCGAAAGGAGGCGTAACGCGAAAATTTTGGCCCCTATATCGAAGATCCAAAAGAGTTCATTGAACTACTTGTTACCGTGGAGGGATTGTGGGTGTCACACATTGACCCTCAGGGCGTGACCGAGTTGCACAAGTGGAGCACACTGAGTAAAGGCCACCAAATGTGTGCGACGTGTTAAAGCCAGACGGCAAGGTGACAGTGGTTGCATTTTTGGATGATGGCGGGGCTCTGCTCGTCAACTTTCAAAAACAGGGGCGCACAATTAATGATGAATGCTACACCTCCCTTCGATAACAGTAGCGAGCAGCAGATATCAAGGAGAGACTAGGGAAGCTGACTAAAAGTGTGCGCCTGATCCAGGACCACGCACCAGCACACATGAGCAGGGTGACGATCAGCGAAGCAGTGAGCTGTGGCTTCGAGTTGTTGTCACAGCCACTTTTTTCTTCGTACCTTGCACTCTCAGGTTGCCACCTCTTCCCCAACATAAGGAAATTGCTTAGCAGTGCCAACTTCGCTGACAGCAAGGAGACAAAAGCAGCCGTCTTGGACGTGCAAGATGTGTCCAAAACCCACTTGGCTATGGAGACCCAGGGGCCTCTTGCGAAACGCTGCGCGAAATATTTTTGTCTTAACGCTGGTTATTTGACTAAATTAACATTTTTGGTCTAATAAGTTGACGTCGTATCTCTGCTCCTTCATGGTCGGGCCGAGAACTTTTTGAACGCCCCTCGTATGTCGCGTGTCATGCCTGTCTTATCTTAAAATTCAAAACCCACTTTTCTCTGTAACCGTAACATTTTTTTATTGCGACCCGAAGAAGTCTCATGGACGAAATAAAGGTATTTTTCAAAGAATTTTGCAGTTCAATTACCATTTGGAACTTAATGAGCAAAGGCTATTATATTTCAATGAAGAGAAGGTAATTCATTGCCTTCTGTTCTACATCTCCTGCCACTAATAGAATTAACTTTCAGTAGAAAAAGACATCAGGTATTCTATTTTTTACTTATAAGTGTTTTTTTTGGCAGTGAAGGGTGCAGATAAAAAAACAATAATTGAACCAATTTTGCTAGTACAGTATACAGTTCGGTCGATATTGAAATGTGTGGTCCTTAAAGTCATTAACCGGCGCACCGACGGGGGGGGGAGGGCGGATATCCGCCCCCCCCCTGAGGTTTTTCGTAGATAGCGGGAAAACCGCAGCGCGAAATTTGGTACGACTATTCTCTTATCAATTTTACACATGGCGTGCAAGTTTGAATCTCCTAACTTTTAAGGTCAGGTCACCAGGTCACTTTGAATGACCCAACCTCAAGTCACTTTTTTGCAACTTTGTCGCCGTGCCAGAGCTACAGTAGATGTTGGAGGCCTTTGAAAGTCGCAGGATGTTATAAGGTCATTAGTAGCTACAAATAGTATATCTCGGAATTTCGATATCGATGACCTAAGGTCAGGTCAATATCTCGACCTCCCCATTATAAGTCAATGGGGGAAAAATCAACTCCCTGTTTGTACCTACCACTAAAACGGGTCGGAATGGCCCATAAACCATACATGACTTCATATACGATCAACCTTCACTACCTTGAGGTCTATTTTGCTGTTGGGCAGCTGTAAGGTCATGTGACGTCATCAAAGGTCACCAAGGTTTTTTTTGCCAATAACTCCGTACAGGAACAAGATACAGCCGCGCGGATGGTCTCATTGTGTTCAGCTCGGTAAGGCCCATCGAATGATATACATGATGACTTCGAGGTCACGTGACCTGAGGTCACTTGACCTTGACCTTTCGAGGTCAACATATTTATCATTCGATGCGGATTGACGAGAGGATCACGATGATGCCCTTAGTGTGTTCCTATCTTGACGAGTTCGAAAGATATTCGAGAAAAAAAAACTTTCCATATCTAGCGCGACCATTTTGACTTCTGACCCCTGTGACGTCATCTTTGACCTGAACTGAAAATGACCTAGTAAAAAAATGTAGACCTTGTCCGTGCGTACCCCATGCCGTTTACCGCTTGTCGCTATCTTGCTTCGTTCTCGAGATCTCGGGGGGGGGGGGGCGGATGACCGCCCCCCCCCCCGTCGGTTCTAAGTCGGTGCGCGGGTTAAAAGGTAGGTACACCATTTTACACCATGTCTCCAAGCTGTCATGGGCACCAGGATCTATATCTGAAATGGTTCCAGCCGACATCTGGCTACCTGGCTGCTATCGTTTTCAAGCAAGTTCTGGTTTTCTAGAATCTCATGATTGCTTACTGCCCTCCAAGGTCTTCTGAAGGCTATCACAAGTTCCTGGCCGCTCTTGGTTACATGGCGTTTGCTGGTTCTGGCCTGGGTTCTTAATTGGTGGTTCTTTCGTCCGATTCTCTGCTGGTTTGTGTTTCATCACATTACAATACAAGTTGTATGAGAAAGCCGCTTTTAAATGGCCTCCTTACAATTAAATACCGATTGATGACATAATGAAATAATCATTGATGTTTCGAGTCGACCACCGGTCATTATCAAAATAAGCCAGTCAGAACTGTACATTTAAAAAGCGTTTTATTAATGTACATGTACCATGTACCATGATGGTACTATCGATGGTACATCGATAGTACTGCCATCGAGATCAACCTCATGTTCAGCATTATCTTTATACAAAAGTGTGCCCTGAGTCAATCTCATTCTCAGTATCATCCGAGCCTGAAGATGTTTTTCATGTCAGCGTACGACGCAAGCCATGGAAACATCTGAAAATCTTTACAGGACATTGCTAGTTGCTACCACAGCGTGCCAATCTTTCACTGGTATCAAGTCTTTGAAAAACAAAAGCTCAAGTCTCCCCGTACCAGCGAGATCCCCACACACTCAGAGACGTTCTCAATACTGGTGAGCCCTCTGTTTGCGTTCTCTGATGCCCTCAGTACTGGTGAGCCTTCTGTTTGCGTTCTCTGATGCCCTCAGTACTGGTGAGCCTTCTGTTTCCGTTCTCTGATGCCCTCAGTACTGGTGAGCCTTCTGCATGCGATCTCTGATGCCCTCAGTACCGGTGAGCCTTCTGTTTCCGTTCTCTGATGCCCTCAGTACCGGTGAGCCTTCTGTTTGCGTTCTCTGATGCCCTCAGTACTGGTGAGCCTTCTGTTTGCGTTCTCTGATGCAGTGGCGGATCCAGGGGGGGGGGGGCAAAATGGGCATTTGCCCCCCCCAAACGGCATGATTTTAACATTACGCCTATGGACGATGCATGGAAAGAATCGATAAATTTTTATGGTTTGCCCCCCCCCCAAACCTCTGAGCTAGATCCGCCTCTGCTCTGATGCCCTCAGTACTGGTGAGCCTTCTGTTTGCGTTCTCTGATGCCCTCAGTACTGGTGAGCCTTCTGTTTGCGTTCTCTGATGAGTTCGGCGATTTTCCCGGCCGTGTATCCGACTGAAGCGATGACGGCTGCCGCGCCGAACAGCACCAGAGCGGCCTGCCCGCAGGGTGTGGCGGCGGCTGCCGTCAGCAGGGGAGTGGCTGACCGGAGGGTACTCATGGCCGTCGGATTCATGACCACCCTGAAAGGGAATAGGCGTCAGTCGTCTGCCGCAGGTACGCATGGAAACCGGGGCGCGGGGTTCGAGCCCCCCCCCCCCTAACTTAAACCCTGGGGTTCGGAGCACCGCCCCTCCCAACTTAATTGAAGAAGAAATGCAGTGATACCAAGGGGCGCACCGTAAAAGGGCACATAATGATTACGTGCCCTTTATGCTATCTACCCTTAGCTGCGCCACTAACCTTAAGCGCCTCATTTAACCCTCGCCCGTATGGGGGGGGGGGGGGGTCGAACGGAGCCCCTCGGTTTTTCGCGTATAACTTGCGTAAAGAGCGGCCGATCGCAACAAGTTACACCTACCCTGAAAATTTCATGACCCTGAACCAAATGACCTTTGACCTTTGACCTTCTTTTCTAGACCATGTTTGGCCGGAATCGCGATTCGGCGTATGCCGGCTCGCATTAGCCGCGTGTTTGCAGTCTTCGTGGTTTCAAGCGTTCAAACATAATATGTAGGTACTGTTGTTGCTACTCGCTCCCATGCATAAGGGCGGGTGTCAAGGTCACCTGAAGGTCAGATCAGTTCATTGATCCGTGATGACGTCGGTCCACTTTTTCGAGTTTTACATATTTCTATGCTAGTTTTTTTTAGCTGAATTCGAATTTAGCAACCATTAGAACATTAACGAAGTAGTTTTGGTGCCTTCGTCACATGTAACGAAGCTGTCAGAGGCTGTTGACACCTACTACGAATACCCGGCAAAACCCCTACTGGTTTACCTGACCTAACCCGACCTGGCCTAAATGCATGAAGACATCATCTGTGATCAAAATTAACATGATATTCGTGATCAGCAACCCGAAAAGCTCTATAATAGCCACACGTCACGACATTCTAACAGGTTCCGATTTTCCCGACTTTTTGGGTCCTTGACCTGACCTGAAAGGTCAACCAATACCTAGGACCTTAAAATTGGGTATCATCGGCTTCCTCTTGTCACGGGCATCACATTAGTTTTTTTTCCGCGAAACTCTAGCTCGATCAGGGGCGAAACGGCAAGGGGGTCCAATGGACCCCCCACCCTATACGTTCGCAGCCGGCAAAACACCAATACGGGCGAGGGTTAAGAATCATTGATCCACAAAACGTTAAGATGTCGACTCCTTGTTTGTCTCATGCGAGGTTTAGTCCCCCCTCTCAACTCTTTGAGACGTTTCCCGCGTCCCCCTATGTTTGGAAAGAAGACAGTAAAGTTACGGGTGAAGCCATGAAGCTTAGACTCTCACCTGTTTTCTGCCGAATGGGTGGAGAAGCGGCGTTGAGTGTTGTTCAGTCCGCTGACGGTCTCTGAGCCGCCCACCAGTCGTCCGTGCGGGGTGCGGCGTGCACTCTCCGCCAGTGCTTCAACCACGTATTGCAGAGGGCTCCACAGTCACTGACGTCAGCGGGTGCGCTGGTGACTCACTGCAGAGCTGCAGATATGTTTGCGCAGAGCGGACCGCTGCAGTCTACCGCCTCGCCACGGACCCAGAATGAGAGGGAATCAGGGAAGGGACTCACAAACAGGCTCATACATCACATGATATCTGTCCAATCTACGGCGTGAAAATCGACTATGCATTTTTACGGTTGTCAGATGCCAAAAGTCTTGGTATGATACACCATACACCATTGCTACCCACTTAGTCATTACATTTTCATTGAACATAATTCTCTTAGTTCAAAATCTCCAGTTTGTCAATGTTACACGAAGAATGTTGCATGGACTCCATGTTGCATAGAGTTTCGCGGCTCGCGCCCTACTTGCCCCTGATTTGAAGTTGGACACATCGGCTATCCAGCGCTGTCGAACTGGAGAAAACTCGCTACTCTAACGCGCGGTAATTCCCCGTCTTTTCCCCCGACCCCCGTCAGCGATAGTGAACATTTATGCACGGGCTGCAAGTGCAACTTGGATGTTGCCGAACCCATCGCGTTTCTACCATATGCCCCAGTCAAGGAGAGGGCGGGCATAACAGTCCCATGCATCGTTCCACTCATAACTACAAAGGGCTTCGTAAAGCAATCGTACCGGTTGCCAGTCACTAGGTATACGCAACAAATTGGCACACAGTTTTAGCCTGTGCCCATTTCGAGCTCTCAGTCTACTTCGCTATGGAGTGGTGGAAGAGTTCGTAGAAGGTCATACATGATTATTTCGAAAACTGAGAAAGCTTAACCCGCGCCCCGCTGAGCTATTCAGCCATACGCGCCCTGCTGGGGGGGGGGGGCAGATTCTGCCCCCTGTCTAACTTCCGAACCGATGGTCGTAGAAAGACGAGGAAAACGGCAATCGAAAGCTCTCAACAAGGCGGATCTTAAGAGACCATTTTTTTGCTTAAGTAGGTCAGAGGTCAGGTCAAGGGTACAAAATGCAAGTTTCTACAGTATCGGCCTTGCACCGTAGTTGCCGAAGAATGGACTGAGACTGATTGCCCAAAACGTGTCCTTAGGCTACCAAGACAATATTCGTTGCATAAAATATCATGCAAAGGTCAAGGTCAAGGTCAGGTCACGTCACCAAAAACGAAATATAGAAAAGGGCATGTGCGACACATGTTTTATGGGTCATTTTATTCATAGAATTCAATAGGCACACTTAATAAGTGATGTGGACCACATCTGGATGAATTTCAGGTCGAGGTCAGGTCAAGGTCAGGTCAAGTGAGGTCAAATTTGAAGTTTGTTGTTAAGGCCTAAAAAGGTGTCTATCAGATGCAGTTTTTCACGGCGAATCGAATGGTGCTATTTTTGTTTCCGTACGAGGTCTAGAATTTCCAAAAAAACATTTTTTTCAATAATTTTGTGTGTCGTGAGTCGTGACGGTCATAAAATTTTGAATAACTCCCACATTTTTGAACCGATTCTTCTAAAAATTGGTATGTAGGTGCACATAGACGAGTTCTCTGACAGATATTCCGTTTTTTATACACTCAAAATTTTGGATTGTATAATTAATTTCACAAAAAAGTCAGTTTTTTTGAAGAAAAAAATTGGGCCAAAATCCAAAATTTTCAAAAAACCGAGATAGCCATTTGATAGACAAAGTAGAATCACGTATAACCTTTTTGTTACATCTTGATTCCTTTAAAAAATGAAGATGTTAGCGGCGTTTGAAAGTTTGCCGTTTTTGAGGCGAAAATTGCGAACATGACGTCACTAAAATGTCATTTTCTCAAACATTTTCTGACGGGTTTCGCTCAAATTTTCAGGGAACGTGTCAAATTGATGTATGATAAGGTACTGAAAGTTTGACGTCGCTGGCGTAACGCGTTTAGAAGTTATTAGCGAAAAACGGGAGGGGCAGATTCTGCCCTCCCCCAGCGGGGCGCGGGTTGACACGGAAAAACGACCAATAAATAGCTGTCAACGGTTGCATGGCAGCTCATCAAAGCTCTTTCGCTAACATGTCATAAATAATCTAAGAGCAACGGTTTTTGTTGATTTTTTTTGTATAAATTTTTCATTGTCATTCGGGGACAGTGTCCCGGGCACACCTCCGTTTCATATATTTCACTCCTAACTCCTGCTAGTGAATATAAAATCATGTATATGATTTCAGATTTGTCGTTTTATTGGCAAAAGAAGCACAGCTGCAAGACAAAAATAGCCTAAACGACACCCGGACAAAAGCGACACGTTCCGATGGTTCCATCACATGTTTCTCGGGTAGACAGTGATCTGCAGCGCACATCCCGGAGACTAGAGACGTACCCGAGAGTCCAACCATCGGTGGGAGTGTATCTCCGCAACGGCGTCCACCAGAGACCTCGTCGAAAATAAATCTCACCCAATCCATCGACCATTACCTTCCAGACCAGTCTTGCTAACTGCAAGCTGGCGTTTCATCTCTCGATCGCCGTCATAATATATGGACTAAAACTGCGCAAGGTCTCGCCACTCAAACCATCACAATCATCCACTCGCCCGGTGGCGCATTTTAAGGTCGTTACACGCTGCTTTATTTTCTTTTTGTCTAAGTGTCCATTTGTGGCCACCATTGTTGCGAGATCACGTCCTTGACTCGCCCGTCGAGCCAGACGATCCTGCGTCAGTGCCGTAAGCTGCCTTCAAGTCGTTGATCATCAGTTTGCACATGGCGGGAAGGTCGTACCGGTGGCGCCAGCCCCAGTCCTCACGTGCGCACGAGTCGTCAAACACCTGAGGCCAGGCGTCCGCTGCCGGAGAGAGGAGGTGGTGTCACGAGAGAGAGAGAGAGAGAGAGAGAGAGAGAGAGAGAGAGAGAGAGAGAGAGAGAGAGAGAGAGAGAGAGAGAGAGAGAGAGAGAGAGAGAGAGAGAGAGAGAGAGAGAGAGAGAGAGAGAGAGAGAGAGAGAGAGAGAGAGAGAGAGAGAGAGAGAGAGAGAGGAGAGAGAGAGAGAGAGAGAGAGAGAGAGAGAGAGAGAGAGAGAGAGAGAGAGAGGAGAGAGAGAGAGAGAGAGAGAGAGAGAGAGAGAGAGAGAGAGAGAGAGAGAGAGAGAGAGAGAGAGAGAGAGAGAGAGAGAGAGAGAGAGAGAGAGAGAGAGAGAGGAGAGAGAGAGAGAGAGAGAGAGAGAGAGAGAGAGAGAGAGAGAGAGAGAGAGAGAGAGAGAGAGAGAGAGAGAGAGAGAGAGAGAGAGAGAGAGAGAGAGAGAGAGAGAGAGAGAGAGAGAGAGAGAGAGAGAGAGAGAGAGAGAGAGAGAGAGAGAGAGAGAGAGAGAGAGAGAGAGAGAGAGAGAGAGAGAGAGAGAGAGAGAGAGAGAGAGAGAGAGAGAGAGAGAGAGAGAGAGAGAGAGAGAGAGAGAGAGAGAGAGAGAGAGAGAGAGAGAGGAGAGAGAGAGAGAGAGAGAGAGAGAGAGAGAGAGGAGAGAGAGAGAGAGAGAGAGAGAGAGAGAGAGAGAGAGAGAGAGAGAGAGAGAGAGAGAGAGAGAGAGAGAGAGAGAGAGAGAGAGAGAGAGAGAGAGAGAGGAGAGAGAGAGAGAGAGAGAGAGAAGTTACAGACAGAAAATACAATTACGAGCAATACAAATTTCTATTCTGCTCGTATGTGACCTGTGGGTGCGGACGATAAGTAAGAACAACTTTCAGAACGCTATTGAACGTGTAGATATTTATTTATTGCAGAGGAGACCACACAGTAAGGACACAAGCTCTGCCTAGAGCGGGTATTCCATGCATAGAAAACAGGGCAGGCTGCTGGATAATGATAAGGCTAAACATTATCACCAGATATGTCATTTAAGCAGTCTACACAGATGCCCTTCATATACCTGAATGATTTGCGACTGATTGCCGCTCTGATGCCTACTCCGATGCAGGCACTACGCACCGATCTGCTGCCGCGAGTCGGGTCGGTAGGTGACCTCCAGCTGGGGCACGTGCTCGCGCACAGCGCGCACCAGCTCCTCGGGACTGAAGCTCATCGCGGTGACGTTGTAGGTGCGCGAGCGGAGCTGCGACTCGGGCGCCACCATGATCTCCCAGAGGGCGCTGAAATAGCGCCGCCAGAGGTCAGCCAGGTCAGTCAGGGTGGTCGGGAGGACGGGGACTGCTGAATTTTGGCACTGAATACTGATGTTGTAGATCTAACTTCCGATAAATATATTTCAATTCCCAAATGTTTTTTAACATATGTTCATGTCAAATTCGCTAACATTATATTGCATGCATGTTCCAAAGTTGAAAATGAGCATGCTGGCGATCTATCGTTTGACCCTTTCGCGTCGCAATTAGTTATGTGAAGCACCCTCAATGTTGTTGCCTGTTAGTGGCGGCTCCCCGTTGTGGTGTCTTTTTTTTCGGCCGAACGAGACCATTTCAGTGCCGGAAAGATGAAACGAATTAGGGGGGAGACATTGGTCTGGACGGGAACCCTGGCGACCCGCCGGGACTGAGCCTGTTCAGGTGACAGGCCGACCAGCCCCCCCCCCCCCCAAGCATTCATGACTCACTGCACCCGGCTACGGGAGTGCTCTTACGGGCATTCCCGCATGGGACAAAAGCTGCCTGTCCAGCCGGGAACAGGGGTTGAGGCGTGGAGGAGAAGGATTTGACTATCCCGAGGATGGAATAGGGGGAGGAGATGTGACTAACCGTAGCGTATCGTCAATGTACATCATGGGCAGACGCGAGTCGGGCCTCAGGTAGCAGCTGAACTTGCCCGTGGTCACGGCGTCGTGGAAAATCTGGACGGCGTAGTCTGCAAACACGAGTGCAGAGGTGACATTTCCAAGTAAACTGAATGAGTTTTGGGCGTTATGATTGCACGTACAGCAATAAACTAGGGAGTAAAACAATTTGCGCGATACAATAAAACAATTGAGGCACCAAAAGGCTAAAAGGCTGGGTTAATCGTTAAAGTGACCTCAGATTGTCACACATAGATTACCTGTGGTGCCCCCTCCCGGGGCGGTGTCACTGGATATCACTCCCGGGAATCGCAGACAGCGGAAGTCCAGTCCGAACTTCTTGTGGTAATATTCGCCTAAAAGTTCCGCGTGCACCTGAAATGTGATTATACCATATTGCATAATATGGACATGCATATTGCATATGGACGAATGCAACGATGTTTTCGTTAAAAAAAAAACATTTGTATGATAATGAAATATTTTAACATCTTACCAAGACATAATCTATTCATTTAAATAACCATGTATCATAATATCGTGTCGTATTGCAGGCCATACCGGAGTCCTTCGCTTTGTGTCACGCCGCCCCTTGCCGTACCCATCCACCCGTACGTACGGCCCCGCAGCGTACCTTGCTGACGCCGTAAATGGTCTCCGGCCTTTGAATGGTGAGGTTCGGGGTGGGGTTGCGAGGGGACGTCGGACCAAAGGCTCCGATCGTGCTCGGTACAAATATCTTCAGCTTGTATTGCTTCGCCAGCTCCATAACGTTATGAAGACCTGAAGCGAGAGGGGCAGGCAAACGTCGAACCAAGAAGATAAGTAGAGATATATATTCGTTGTATATTTACAAATGAGCTATTCGATTCGATACAGCCCAACATGGTTATGTCAAAAGAGATTCAATAAGTTTCGATACCATCTGACTTTTATTACAGCCGCTGAAAGTTATTGGCGGACGACATGGCCCATTTAAACTGCTGCTAGCTCAGGTTATTAGTCCTCTGAGATTCTGTAGCCCACCCTATCAGTCGCCGAAGCGTCATCACTATTGATCGGGCAGGAATGGAGCAGCTTATCGTGATGCACTGAAGGGCTCTCGGTCCTCTTATCAGAGTTCAACCAACGACACGCGATGGGGCCGGGGGTGTCGTGGCCGTTCTCGTACAAGGTCATAGCCCGGCTCTACAGTACAGCTACTTCTACTTCTACATCTACTTCTTCTCGGAGCGCTCTGCAGCTGACCTTCGATGTTGACTCGGATGGCCAGCGGCACGTTGTCCTCGCCGACGGCGCTGAGCAGCGCGGAAAAGTGCACCAGCCAGTCGATACGGTACGTCACCACTATCTCCTGCAGGTTCTTGAAGTCCAGGATGTCGGCGAACACGTACGGCCCTGGGGAATGGGTTCAGGCAGCGTCATTGTTTGCGCTAATGCTGCTTATATGCTTCGTTTTTCCGCCGTTTTTGGTGTATCATTACTCAAATAACTAACAGAACTTTGCATGAATCCTTTTGAAAAGATGTCGAGTTTTAGCCTTATCAGGTTACATGAGAATCACGGCGCTAAGTTTCTTCATCGGTCTGGCTTATTACTTTTTCTATGAATAGCCCACCCTCCAGGCCTCCGATCGGATGTCGGAACTCTGACCAATATTGATCCAAGCTTCCAGATGAACTACATAGGGCAGCCCGGTCAGACATTACACACCATCGGACAAACATACACAACACATACACAGACAGACTGACACAAACAGGCAGAGACACAGTCACAAACATACAGGCACAAACACAGAGACGCAGACCAGCACACACACCCCTGAAATTGCCATCCACTCCATTAATTTCAGCCGCCTGACCATCTCGGCTGCCCCTGAAAGCCATCTCACCCGCCTCTACAGACCAGCTCACCCGCCTCTACAGACCAGCTCACCTGCTTCTACAGACCAGCTCACCTGCTTCTACAGACCAGCTCACCTGCTTCTACAGACCAGCTCAGCTGCCTCTACAGATAAGCTCACCTGCCTCTACAATCTCTCTCTCGGGCTTGATGATGTCGGAGAGGATGACGTTGTCCCTGCCGTACCGGGCCCTCATCAGCTTGGCCAGCCCAGTACCCAGCTGTCCCAGGCCACCTGGAAAGGGAGCAGCGACCGTCAGCCAATCAGCGGCGGTAAAAAGACCGCCATCCGTTAGCGATGCGTGGCGTGATTGGTGGACACTGCTTAGGATGATTGAACGATTTAGATGATAAGCATCTATGTCGATTAGACATACTAAGGTTACTAGAGGGAGAAAGCTGAAAAATACTAAGGTTATCTTTGCATGCTCAACTAAAGGTTTGAAACGTTCAGTCGAACAGAAGCAAAAACATCGAGTATTCCGGAGGCTATGGTCGAATTATGTAAAATGCGCCAACATTTTCATTGAAATTCACCTTAAATGCGAGTTCATTTTACCTCCCTTCATTTAAATCAGTCCCCCAAATTACTCATTCAACACCCAAATAAAAAGATTGATTGTCTTCAACGCAAGGAGATGGCTGAGTGACGTTTTAGCTTAAGAGAATGTTATTTCTGGAGATATGTCGCATCCTAAGAAGATGAGTATTTAGATAAAGGCCTCGAAGTGGAAACACTGTGCTGGATGAAGCACCAGCAATAAAAAATAAACCAGTAAAACGCATTTGGGGGCGACCAACGGAGCGAGCGAGAGCGTGAGCCTGGCACCTGCGAAATTGCGAGGGTGTATATACTTCCAAATGACTTATGCAATGCACGGAACCCTACTAACCGGTCTTCAACTTTGGATGTGCCAAAGTTGAGCGCAATCGGCCCAGCCGTTCTCGAGATCTGGAAGCGTCACCGTTCACGTGCGCACGCCAAAAAATGGGTCCCAACTGACTTTTGCACGGCACCCTACTAACCGGTCTCTAAACGTGTACCAAATTTGAGCGCATTGATTTCAGCCGTTCTCAAGATCTGGAATCGACCCCTGCGCACGTGCAGAAGCACCCCAAATGTGGCACATGGAAATTCATTGACTAGTGAGCAGTGGGTGTCTACTGTCTACCTACATGCCAACTTTCAGCGCACGGCCGGCCGCTCATACTAAAAAAAAATCCGTTAATCTACGGAAGACTTCGCTTGCTTCACTTGCTCCGCAACTAAAACAGGACTCATGCTGTGTTTGATCAGTTGAGAGTGATGTCAGGATTACAAGGAAACAGGCTGCATGGTGTCAGATGTGTTATTCCAAACAACATTGAAACAACCGGCCTTGTGTATTATGTATAACATATCTATGTGCTATGCAGATTGCAAAGGTCAGCAGCAATACCAATGATTTCAGCCGTCTTGTAAAGTGTGTGAGAACAGCTTTCAGATTAAATCAGCGTCTCCCTCCTCCACCGTCTCCGCTTTGGCAGCAGCACGATGGCTTGTGAGCGCTGCGGTACAGTGTACCTCCAGGCGCACGGCACCAGCGACATCTATGGAGCGCGACGGTAACCAGTCGCCCAACGAAACCGTGTCTTTGTATTTTTGGCGCTGGGGTACAAACTTCCCAATGCGGGACACGGGAAACGGCTCTTTGGCAGCACCGGCTATAGTTCGGAACTTTCGCTGCCTGAAATTGACGGTAAATAACAAATAATTTTGCATACATTTATATGTGTGACATTGATATGGAATGCCCTTGTTTTACGGAAAGAGCAGGTAAATCTCCCCCGGTTTTGTTAGTCTGCTCACCTGTAATAAGGATCCACGGCCACTCCTGCTCCTGCTGGTTGTTTATTGTCTGTTGGTTGTCTCCTGATTGTCTGCTGGTTGTCTGCTCACCTGTGATTAGGATCCGCGGCGGCTCCTGCTGCTGCTGGCTGTCTGCTCACCTGTGATCAGGATCCGCGGCGGCTCCTGCTGCTGCTGGCTGTCTGCGAATCCTCTCCGTGACGACAATGTCCTCCTCTGCTGAGCGGGCGCAGACAGGGCGCGGGCGCACAGCCGCGCGCATGGCGACGAGTGTAGAGCCACGCTCATTGTGCTCCTGGGGACCGAGAGTGGCTCGTTAGATTACATTGGAAAGTGAGGTGAAATTTAGCTTCGTTTTTTCACTTTAGGCTTAGAGCCTTGACCTTCCAGAGTACAGATGACAGGTGAAATATACCTATGTATAGCGTTGAAAACATGTGCTTGCGTCACGCATGACAAATTAATGTGTGACGCATCAGATAGCAAGGTTAGACTAGCAGTCGTAACCTTCAAAACGTCGGCTCTTGAAAAAAGGAAATATTAGTAGGTATAAAATTGCTCGGTTTAATTTTTCCTCAAAATTAGCTAGGCTTCTTTGGAATGGTTTAGGATGTTTTTCCTCACACCGAGACACAAATTCGGTACCGCACACTGCACTCTCAGTCACTAACCCTTGCTCCCTCACAGCGAGCGACCACTAACGGTGACGACCCCCTGAAGGCCGACACAGGCCCGGCCATCTGTGTGCCACATGAGACCGCCGCCCTCCAGGGGTCGAGTAGCAGGGGGGGGGGGACGTCGGGCCACCACCTGGCGCGCTGCCAGCGTCGTCTTCGACCCGACGAAGGCGTGGCCGGGGGCTCGACGGCACGGGGAGCCCGGGCGGCCGCCCCTAGCTACAGCCTAGGAACTGCTGGCGACTGGCTGGAGGCAGCCCGAGTGCGCGGTGTGGGGCGCCGTCGGCGTTACAGTTGTTGGCATGGCACCCCCTCCCCCTCCTCCTCCCCCCGCAGACAGCTGGCTGCCGACGGGTGACGTCAGGGTGCCATGAGTAGGGACGCGCCGGCGGCCCATGACCCAGTTGGCCGCCACTTGTGTCACCATCCGGCCTCGGGTCACCTCATGCCAGCCCCAGAGTTGTCAAATTTGCGGGGTTAGCTGTGCTGGTGGCTAGCGCTATTTTTGGTCAGAATAGGGTCATGAGAAAAATACACTAAAATATTTTCTTAGTGGGCTTCCCATATTTACCTTAAAAATAGGTTGAGGTAACCAAGCTGGAGTGGAACTCGAGAAAACACGCTAGAAATCCAAGGTCAATTGCAAGTGAAACTAATCTGCCTGCTTACATACACTGTTATTAGGTGACTAATTTCGTTATAATAAACGGTTACGTATTTTTTTTTCGCTGCTGACTCAGAAAACTCAGCAACGCCAGCCGCAACAGCGCAAATATGTTCTTCCCCGCGCATTGCTCCTCCTCGCCGATCCTTGCTTGCAGCTCTTGTATAACAACAGACAGTGCCGTTTTCGGCCTTTATCTCTCGTGGAGCACAATCCTGTAATACAACTGCATACACGCACAAGACAAATGTGCAAGGCTTCAGCTGACGGATGTTGCTGCTGATAAATGTCTTCATGACTCTCCTTACGTAGGCTGACGATCGTCCCATAACCCATCCGACAACCAGTGGATGTGACATCCGATAGCGAGCATACGAGTATGCCTACTTATGCCGCCGCGTTTGAGTAACAGGACGGCCAGTCCCCACCGGCCACTTCGGTCTCTACAGAATGGTTTCGGCCAGTGCGGTACATGCACAAGTAGTCGTCGGCCGATTCATGGGTCTGAAAGGGTTTTTATTGAAAGAAGGGCTTGACCACACAAAACAACGTATAAAGATTGTTCGAAATTCTTGAGTTTTGTTTTTGCCTGGTACCGAAAGCCATTGTTCCGTTCAAGTTAAAAGTTTCGCTCACTTTGCCTGAAACGTCAGCAGTCGTTGCCAGCCAGCGCGACAGCAACCATTTACCATAATAAGTTTGTCATTTTGAGATTTCGTTACCTTGGGGTAAAGCTTGTCAACTTCCTCTCAAATTAGTATGTACAGCGACTGTGCAGTTAACCATCACCCGGCCAGGGGGGTTGATGCAACCCCCGTCAGGTTTTTCGCGGTTCTGCGACACCTGAGCGAGCGTCATTTCAGCGAACGACATTTGAGCGAAACATTTTCAGCGATTATCAATTTAAGCGATTGACTTTTTCAGCGATTGTCAAGTCGGCGAATTCAATCACAGCGATTATCAACGTAAGCGAGGACCAGAATCAGCGAAACCACATTGAGCGAATATATGGTGGTCAATGGGAGACCAATTGAGCGAATACAGTTACAGTGAAACCGAACGCGACGAAAGTCAATCATTTCTACTTTTCGGAAATTCTTGCCCTTTGAATACCCGTTTGGTTTGTGTCATGCTTCAAGCTGCGCGCGACAAAATAAAAAAAAATTGTTTTAAAGCTTGAAAATCTGTTATCTTATAGTAATCTTGTTGGAAACCTGAAACCACAAAAAAATATCAGGCCTCATTTCGCAACGTTTAATCATTGATCTTGCAACGTTTCGTTTTTAAATTTTTTGTTTTATATCATACGTCATGATAACACCTAACAGTTTGTAATCCACCAGAGGTAAAGACAAAATTAAATACAATGGATTAGCTACCGTTCAGTAGCGGCGGAACACCTTCAATTAAGGGGGGCACCGCCGACTTTTGGTCTCATTCTCTCCATGCAACGCCCATAGGGCTAATGTTAAAATGCCAAAATCAAGGAGGGCACGGTGCCCCGGTACCCCCCTTCGTTCCGCCGCCTATGAGTAGGTACCGTCTGGACAAAACTTAATATAACTATTCTATTTGTTAAATTCTATAAAGAACAGGGGGTGAAAATGAACCGTTGGAATTGAATTGTTTAGAAATGTAGCATTACATTTGGATCTCAATGTCTGAGGTCTTTGGACGTGACATTCGCCATCGCCCATCCAGTTCCGGATAATCATGAGAAATTCCGGAAACATTCGCGCGTATACGCTCGCAAAAAAAAAGAACGTTACAGGACGATGAAGTGTTTCGCTGAACTGGCAGTCGCTCAAACTGTAGTCGACGAAATAGATGTCGCTGAAACATAGCTTTCGCTAAAATTGATAATCGCTATATTTGATAATCGCTGAACTTGATAATCGCTGAATTGCCATTCGCTGAAAATGATTCGCTCAAATGACGTTCGCTCAAATGACACTCGCTAAAGTCGCTCGCACCGGTTTTCCGCAGATAGCGTAAAAACGGCGGCACGTAGCGCCACGTAGCGTCGCCAAATTTTGCATACCTCTGGGTATGCAAATACTCTGCACTCTGCAATTCTGTATGTTCCTGGCAGATCACAGAAGTCAGCAAGACGTTCAATATCCCGCGCCCTGCCGGGGGGGGGGGGGTCGAACCCCTGCGGCTTTTCGCGAATACTTCAAAAAATGTCGGCGCGCGAGCGCCGCCGTTTTTGGCACACCTTATCATACAACTTTTCTGCACGTTGTGAAAATTTCAAACCAAAGTCACCTAAGGTGACCAGGTCATGTCAAGTGACCTCACTTTATGGAAATTTCGATGCCTGCCACAGCTTCACCTAGTGACCGATAGCTTTGAAACTTTGAGGGATTGATAAGAGCAACAGTATTTACAAAATGTTGCTCACGGAATTTCGATGTCCGTGACCTAAGGTCAGTTTAATTAAGGGAGAACATTGAAAGGTGCCTCTTTTGGACGAATGCCATTCTTAACACTCTCAAACACCGGATTAAAAGTAAACATGACACACACTGAACTAAAGAATGGCACCCATGACCCCTCCTTATGTCACTGAGGCCATCTAAGGTCACGAATGGTATTTAGTTACCAGTTTTTTTGCGAATAACTTTTGATAGAATAGACATGCTAGAGGTTAGATGTGTTCAGCTCAACAACACAGATCGACTTATATGCAATAGGTATAAGCTTTTCCGGTCATGTCATTACCATGACCTGAGGTCACATTTTCAAATTGAACTTTCAAGGTCAATTTGTAATTTATTCGATGTGTCTTGACGAGAGGAACACGATGCCGGTGAGAGTGAGCTCGTGCATGGTTTGATTCAAAAGGTATTGCAGAAAAACTCCGAATAATCGCCTTTTTGGCATTTTTTTTTGCCCTCTGCAGGCAAAACCGTTCGGAACTTTTCACCGTTCGAAAATTGTGTGGTTCTTGTCATGACTCCATTGATATTTTAAGCTAAAAACAGAAATATCACGCAAATTTTGTCATGTTTTGGCATGGTCATTAGCTTTGAGGTAGGTCACTCCCTTTGATTTTATCTCACCTGTGTTCTCCTGTGTCCTGGATGCACCGTGTGCTCCCAGACGGCTCCTGCGACCGTCTGCCCGCTCCTGACGTGCCTGCGACCGCCTGCCCTGCTCCTGACGCGCTTCTGGTCCGTCGGAGCCGGCGACCGTATCGAACGGCCCCGCCACAGGCCTACGTCACCACGTGGAGCCGCCCCGCCGTTACCAGGGGCTCGCGTCGTCCGCGACGCCGTCCGTCTGACCGTCTGTCTGTCTGTCCGTCTGTCTGTCTGTCTGTCTGTCTGTCTGTCTGTCTGTCTGTCTGTCTGTCTGTCTGTCTGTCTGTCCGTCGTCGGCACTGCTCCCTCGGTGTTCCCAGTAGGTGCGGACACACAGCTGTACGCCTCTCCCTACACGAACGGCACCGGTCGACAGGGTGATAGTGTCGTCGGAACCCGGCCCCTGACTGAGGCGACTCGGCCCGACTGCGGTGGAGGGGGAACGACGAGACGGAAACGTACCCCGCTAGAGATGTGCATGGCTCCGTCGGTGCCAGCGCTGGGAGCCGGAGCGACGCGATGGAGAGAAATCGTGGCTGGTATTTCTAGCGTGGCATGACGTGCATCATCTGTCATTATCAGACTTTTCTTTCGTGATGTTTTTGCTGGGCATAAAGCATCTATTTTGTAAAGTTTATGCGGTGGGTGAGGTGAGCGTGTAAATGGGACCCGAACCGCACCCAGGCCGTGCACAGCTCATCGTCGGAGCCGACGCTCCCCCGCCGGCGTCCAATCGTCGGCGGCCGGTGACGTCAGCGCAGGCTCTCGACCAATCGCGAGGCTCCCGCGGTGGGCTGGTCGACCGCGTGACTATCGCTGGCGCCGCGCCAGTGAACTTATGACGTCATTGTGGCGTTTGATGTGCTGGAGCCGTGCCAAGCGCACGGCTGGACAGGGCGACTCCATGAAACTAATTACAGCTAACTCTTCTTAAATGAAGCAACTAAATGGGGCGGGCATCCCTTGTCCAGTCTGTGGGTAAGGTCAAAGATGAACGACACGCTTAGCATAAAGGCGCATAGAGAAACGAATTTGGAGTAGTCGTTCGGTTTTCTGAGGAATCTCCTCCCCGCTGACGTCTGCTGAAAGGGCCAAGGTTGCGCACCATAAAAAGAATGACGTTAATAGGAAAAAAGAAATCACGTGAGAAGCAAAAACCAAATGCCGGGATGAATTAAATAATAGCTTAATTTTTCCTAGTACAGCATTCAAATACCCAGCACTTCGCGAGGAAAAAAAAACGACAGCTTAAAGGGACTATCCCACCTTTAACATGGGGTTTGAGTTGAGATAGCCAAGTTTGCGGCGAGGTTCAGAAACCACTATCTATCTAGGTTGCAACCCCCGCGGCCTCTTGGTGTTGAAGAAATTCGTTCCCTTCATTTGAAAATGGGCCTTGTGCAAGGCCCTATCTTCAACATGGAGCGACCGTTAGTGTGACGTCACCTCGTTTAGTCATTCTGATTTAAATGGGTTTGTTCGTTGAAAAATCGCTTAAAACTTGGTCTGAACTTTGTTGTGGTGCCTACAGAGTAAAAAGAATCAGCTTTATGACAGTAATGTGGCCTGGGGAAGGATGTAATTTTGGGCTGTGAGTTGTGACGTCACATATTTGAAAGTTTGTGTTTGGAATATGGGAAGCCTAAAATGTTTAATGAAAAATAAATGCCAGAACCGTGTTCCTGGTCATCCAATCTATAAAGTCGGGCACAATTTAACTGGTTTTAACAACATTATAGAAGGTGGGATAGTTCCTTTAATCCCCACATTTTAAAGGTACAGGAGAATCCACTTGATAAATCCACGTTGGTATCACTGCGTTTTGGATTTATTAAGCGGTGGCTTTATTAACCGGAGTCAGTTATGCTTCTTTAGATAAATCTGAACAGCTCACGTGGCCACAATAAGCGGCCGGATTTATCATCCGAGGATTTATTAACCCTCGCCCTGGCAGGGGGGGTCGATGCGACCCCCCCCTAAGGTTTTTCGAAGATAGCGTAAAAACGGCGGCGCGCAGCGCCGCCAAATTTGGCACAGCCTATGGGGCAACCTTTTTACATATGACCTGAAAATTTCAGGTCCGGGTGACCTTGGGTCAGGTCACCAGGTCAGAAAAACCGGTACAAGGTCATGGTCAAATTTCAATTTTCTTTTTGCACCTGTCCAACTCACAGTTTTGCACTGATTTCCTTCAAACTTTCAGGATGTGCTAGGTTCACCAAGTTGTATAACATATAGTTCGGGTTTTTTGAGGTCACTGACCTGAGGTCAGTTAGAGGTCATTACGTCGTAATGTTAAGCCTATGGGAAAATACTAAATTCGGAAAATACTGGAGATATCCGCTTCGTTTTATCACTTTTGTGCTTTGAAACCACAGTACTTAACAGCAGGTCACTTGGTGCTTCTTTGTTTGGTGTACTTATCCATGGGTCAGGTCAAATGAGGTCAACTGAGGTCAAATGACGTTTTTGCCAATAACTTGGCACATAATGACGCTAGAGCTTCAAAAATGGTATCATTGTGTTCGTGGTGATCAGCCGAATCGAATGATATGCGATATGATGCAATTTGGTCAATTTTAACTTAATTTATTAATTTAAGTTTACTTAAAATTTAAGAAAAACTTTAAGTACACTTAAGCAAGCTAAAAAATATATCATTCGACGCGCCTTGACGTGCTGAGTTCACTGGTGCTTTTCTTTTTGCTCTATCTTAATTAGATCAAAAGTTATAAGCGAAAAACTTTTGACCTGTTTTTAGCGAAATTTTTACATTTATACCCCCCAAAACCCCCCTAAATATTGACCTAGAGCAACCAAATTTGCACAGGGGCGAGAACTCCAGGGGGCCCACCTACCTACCAAATTTGGTGTTTCTAGGTGCCATAGGAGCCAATCGCGAGGGGGGGGGGGTCGCATCGACCCCCCCCCCTGCCAGGCCGTGTTATGAAAAATGCCCTGCCAGGGCGAGGGTTAAACGGATGCCCTACTGTATATGTAAGTTAAATACATTTCTGACTGGTGGGGTAGCGTTATGATCTCCTCCTTGTATCTCCGAAACTACTGGACGGATCCGGAAAACTCAAACGGTGCTCGATAGCCCTGTAAAACTGTGAAGGGAACACTAATTTCATTGACCTCGTGGACACCGATGACGTCACAGGTCAGGTCAAAGCTTAAATGTTTCGCCTTTCAGGGCCTTCTACGAAATGTGTTATAACATCGAGTAAAACACATTTTATCGAAAATCATGACAGACCGTCGACTGTCTAGTAGGTTGTTGCTAAAAGAGGTCACTGATGCAAGGTCAGAACACATGACACAGGCCAGGTGGCCTAACTCACGGACTCGCCCTAGTCAACTATGCAAAAGCGAAGCATCGGACCTTGCAAGGAGTGCATGAAATCATGATTATCATGTGCTTGAGATAGTTTTAGATCGTTCCCGCCGCCAAAATAGCAGTTCTTATTTTCCAATTTCCCCATTGCCTTATAATGGTGAGGGCACGTGACCGACCTGACCTCATGTGGCCTTTAGGAAAAATCCGAGATATACAAGCTGTGAAGCCTCTGGAGGGTACTAGTCCTTGTAAATTTCATCTACCCTTGAACGTTCCTCTGGCTGGCACTGCAGAGGGTGTTGCGAAATTACGGCATGTGAGGACACTGCAGAGGCTCAATAATGACGGCATAGGACCTGAAAATGCGGTTGGTGTCACAACTCACAAGATCCGGCTGAAAGCAAAGGCCAGGATTGCCAAGTTTCAACTGTATATCGCCGGCGTGTTCGGAGCTATTGAAAAAAAACTTAAGACTTAAGAGGCGGCGTCCGCCTTCCCTCTCCCCTCGGCGATGGCTATGAAGCTATTCAGATACAGGTTCTACCGGGTGATCATTTTTGAATGATACAAAAAGAAAGTCGCCACGTGCAAAGATAGGACAAGATATTTTGATTTCACGTGCTGGTTTACATGAGGGACATTTGGACATTTTGTTTTTTATCAACATTGTCCAAGTCCGTCCTAAGGTACGGTAAATATCGTCCGTTTTAGAGCATACCCTTTTTGGACATCTTAGTGTAACGATACAATATCTCAGCTGGATGGCTTTGCAACACAACAAATTTTAGTTCATGGCGCATGTGCAAAGGCAATAGCACGGTTATGCGGGCTTCCTGGAACCTGCAAAGGATCTTGGAGTGCACGGAGACACTAATAATAACAAAAATTCCGAAGTGGACATTGTTGATGGAAGTGCGTTCGAGTGCACTGCTTTGGCGGACCCGGGGACGGTACGGCCTTCTAGAGAATGCTGTAACCTGTCGTTTGGCCGGCTTTGTATGACTAATTCACGCGTCTCCGACACTCTTTTCAACAAGAGTGTGCTTCTCCACACACATCCGCGCCTGTCATTGAGTTCCCGTGCCCCACAGCTGGTAAGCCTGCAGCTTGCGAATAAGCGAGCACGACCGCCCATCTTACAGCCCGGACTTCTCGTGACTGTACTTGAGTGTCTGGCCTCACTTTATGACAGGTGTGGTCAGATGTGAGCCGAAGACAATTGCACATCTAATAGTGGTAGAAGCCAGAAGGAGACTTTACCCGGAGCATGGGACGGCAATAATCAGCAGAAAATGGTCAGACAAACCCGGCATCGAGCGGAGCTCAGCTGGTCGGCGGTCCGCGAGGGGTGCATACTTTGGGTAGCTCCTCTAAGCTGGCTATTGACATTAATGACTGACTGTGTGTTCCAGATAAAATGTCCCACCGTACGTGTTCGATGGGTGTGTTTGGTTTAACTATCCAGCTTAACACATGGCTGATATTAACAAATGTTTTTGTATCATTCAAAAATGATCACCCGGTATGTCATGATGTTTCGTTACGTATTAAAACGTAACATTTTGCATCAATGTCTCATTTATTATTACACGACTAGTGACTACATTGATCACATTTACACCACCCCGGCGCAACTCAAACGACCATCAGCAATTGATCTGCTACATTCGAGCATGTTGCAAATCGACAATCACTCCGCTCCGATTCGCTGCGCCGCAGCCATTGCATCACTGACTGTTGCAGCCGGAAGTGGGTTCGACTTATTCCGTCTACAGTCTGGCGTTATCAATAAACAAGTATCGACTGGAGAGGGGAGGAGAGGGGGTAGTGGGAGGGGCATCGACGACGCTCACAAACTGCCGGCGCCGTCCCTCGCTGGTTCAAAGAACGTCCATCACCTCAAAGCTGCGCAGTGGCGGTCACAGGCGATTTTTATCGGAGGTGTCATAAATTATATAGTAAGTCATCGATGCAGCGTTGTTTTACTTTATGATATCTGTCGTTGAAACAGCTCAGTTGTGGTCACCATTGACCGATGTCACTCTCTGCCCTACCGGGCTGCTGCGCTGGACACGCCTCTGGCCATGGCAACTGCAGGCCAAAGTGAGATCCAGCAGGCGACGTTCTGGTACAGTTCCGCGGTCGCGTTTGGCGTGGAGGGTCTCGTGGTGACCGGCGGCATTGCCCGGGGAGCCTGGTGAGCTGGGAACAGGGACAGCTCTCGGAGCACAGGAACCACGGAGAGCACATGGGTCAGACGGGTCGCCGATTGGAGAGCACTGCAGAACACCGTTGAGAAGCGGGAGCCGGGAGTACAGCAGTGAGAAGTGAGAATACGTTATCAGCGGGAGCACTTGTGTGTGGGGGACACCGGTCAGCAGCCGGGACGTTTTTTAGCAGCTGGAACCCTTGTGTTCCAAAAACACTGGTGAACAGAGGAAGCACTGCCGTGAAGGGCAGGAACACCTGGAGCAGCTGGAACACAGCTGGCAGGTGAGAAGAGGTAACATTGATGAGCACTGAGCAGTTGAAAGACGGAACACGCATCGCTGAACAGTGTCGGGATTTTGGGTAGGCGGCGCCCGACCGCCGCGCCGTCGCGCACGGACCGATAAACCGTTTAATTTTGCATGCATGAGCAAGTAGGCCGTGTTATACACACTACTCAGTGTCATATGACTTTGCTCGGCTGCTGAAGTTGCAGCTGTGCATTATGGTTGGCGAGCGGTCAACGGAGCACTGTGTAAATTTATAGCGCCCCTGAAGAACCCTGCCAGCTGCTGCAACATTCTCTTTCAGGCAAGATATTTTGACTTATAAATGTTCTCTGATATTTCGCGGAAAGAAAATGTGATTTATGCATCGTGGCGGGTACTATTCGGCTGATAAAAACGACTTTGGAGAATCTGTATGGCGCACATGTCGTCTTGATCTACATACACAAGGCATCGCTTATACCTAACTGCTGAGTAGGTACTATATGTCCATAAATTATATGCGATACTACACTCCATATGTAACTTGCTGATATCTGATATCTTAGTCGTAACTGGCCTCCTCCGATCCCCCTCCAACACCTCTGCCTATATGCATTACCCTACACGTGTGATTGTGTCGTGCCCAGCCGTGCCAAGAGTCATCGTCCAGTATTATAAATAGTAAATACTGCAGGGTACTAAGGGATGCGGAGAATCCTTATACACTGTATGTATACTGTAAACCGTGTTGTGCCCTTATGCCTGTCACAATTCACATTTGGTTACAGCGCATTCATTCCTTGTTATTCTTCCACTACATGACCTATTCCACTACATGACACCCATACGGTGATTTCCTCCGCTACCAATGTGCTCCCCTTTCTTCGTACGAAGGAAGTATACTTGCGAAAGTATACTATGCGAAGTATACCTCACACTAACGTTATTGTTATCGTGTTACTCCCGTTGTGTCGTGTGACTGCGCCATTGGTAAGTACCCACCTACATGCATTCAAGATACGGCATCTCCTACCGACCCTGCACTGCGGCCCGCCGACACACTGCACCACTGCGCCGCTGCCTGGTCACGGCTGGTTCAATACCAGTAACAGACGCCATATCTCCGTGAGGTCACGGCTGGGCCCAGTCGCCAATGTCGGGCTGGAAAGGCTCGGGGCCCAGCTCAGCTGTCTGATAGAGTTTGGGGAACGGGGCACGTCTCATCGCAACTGTCAATAGTTGGGAGTGGTGAAATTCGCGGCAACTCTTTTCCTAAATGGGTCCGTCGGTGAACATTCACGAAGTAAAACCCTCAATCTTTCAGGCATAACTTGGGCAAACATACATATTGCAACATATTGGAAGATAAACAATATACATACTGCAGACATATGTACCTAATGTAGGCAATTATATCATTTCTCGTTATCATTACACAAGTCAGTATACAGATTCATGCTAAGAACATTCTCAAAGGAACATGAAAAACAAATAACTATAATCCTTATATCGCGCCAAACACAAACATAACTTCATTACCTTTGCCAATGGCTTATTTTTCAACCAAACAGCCCATTGTCAACATGCTGGGCAAACGGCTATTCCATCGCCGCGTTTTCCTTCCCCGTCCGTCCGGTTTGTCCTTCGCTGCTCCTCTGTTCCTGTCACTGTCCCCTTCCATCACTTCGCCGGCCTACACAATGCATAATGCACATAATGTAGTTGCACATTCCTCATACTGGATCCGGTCTGTATCATATACCTAACACCTCCGTGATACAAACTACCCAACTAACATCACGATTGACCTCATTGACTTGTTCCACGGCTATGCCCGCTGATCCTCCGCTCCTATTCACAATTGTTTCGCGCGCCCCTCCAAGGCCGTGAACTCGTGGCTCTGGTGCCGATACAGGGAACCGGCACGGCTCAGTTTCAGTGACGTGTATGGTTCGCCACGTTTTCCTCGGCTTTACACGTGTGTATGGAAACGGTCAGCGCGTCAGTTAGCCGCCGAGTGGTGTGTAGTGTGCAGTGTCGTCCTTTTAGGGCTGAGAGGTAAGGTGTTGTGTGGAGAGTTATCGTTGCATGTGATGAGCTAGGTTTGTGTGTGCTCATCTCATTGCTGTGATGTGTTGTGCTTAGGCTGTAGACAGTAGCGGCGGAACACCTTCAATTAAGGGGGGGGGGCACTGCCGCCTTTTGGTCCCCTTCTTTCCATGCAACGCCCATAGGGCCAATGTTAAAATGCGAAAATCAAAGGGACACGGTACCCCGGTGCCCTCCCGTTCCGCCGCCTATGGCTGTAGAGTGTAGAGCCGAGCTGTGTTGTGTTGTATTGTGCTGTGCTCTGCGATAGTGGGGCACTGTGCTGTGTTTTTCAACAGGCTCCTTTGCCTGTCTTGCGATCAGCACGATGCACATTTACAACAGGTCTCTGTTCCCGCAATCTTATCCACACCGATAACACCAGACTACGCCGGCTTGAACATTATGCTTGCCCAGTGCTTCGACACCTGGTTATGAAGTGCTCCCACCCATGAAACTAGCACTTGCAAATATACCAACCACCCTTTGCCATCCACAATTGTCTTCTCACCACACAACACTCTGTCCCCGTTTGTTTATCTGCCTGCAGCCGCGCCGTGACGTGGCGTCACGGGACGGCCGTGACGGCGGAGGATCGGTACCGTCACACCGTCACCGGCAGCGTCAGGTGGTCGCCGCCGGCCCCGTTCCGCGACCTGTGACGTCATCGGGGCATGATAGTGCGTGGTCGTTTATCGGCGGACTGATATCTACTCTGTAGGTCATCAGAGCCAGACACCTCCGGTGTGAGAGAGGAGAGCTGTGACGCGGTGAGAGAGGTGGGACAAAGTGAGAGAGCCGGGAGGACGGTGAGAGCCGGGAGGACTCCAAAAGACGCGGAGGACTGGACCTATTGAGGCTCTGTCGCAAGAATAGACTCATTGAGGGAGCCATCCAACGAAAAGCAAAGCAAATCGCTGTGGCTTAGGATAAAGATCTGCTGCGAGGAACAAGCGAAAGCGGCCGAGGAGGACGGATACTAAGAGAGGACAGTCGTCGGTGTGAGGAATGGGCAACAAGAACTCGACCTCCCTCACCAGCGAGGAGGTAGAGGAGTACGCCGAGCTGACCTACCTCAAGAAACGAGAGATCATCAGGTGAGTGCGTCAATGGCGAGAAGACAGAGGGTGAGCGGACAGAGGTCAATGGGTGAGCGGACAGAGGTCAATGGGTGAGTGGACTGAGGTCATTGTGTGTTTGACTTTGCACAGAGGTCGCTAGGTGAGTGAACATGGGTCAATGGGTAAATGAACCTCTGACAGAGGTCAATGGTGGGTGGAAAAAGGTCAAATTCAGAATGGGCTTCACCAAAGCGAATGACATACAGGATGACCTCCCTCGAGCAGCTTTCTAACGTGACCGGCTTTGATTTTACCTTGACCTGAGGTACCCAGAAAGACCTTAGTCACTCCATTTTTTTTCTTTCAGGCAATACCAACGCGAAAGGTACCAAAATTTTGTGAAAGTGATTGACCAAAAAGCGAACCTCGACCTTATGGTCATTAACCTGGCCTCAAATCACCGGCTGATCAGATATCTTTTTAATTGGGTGTCATTCGCTGTGTACGGTTACGTCCAATAAAGTATATTAAACCGCGAGTAGGTAGAACAAATCTTTTAAACGTCGAGCCGATAGGCGAGACGTTTAACAGATTTTTCTACCTACGAGCGGTTTAATAACCTCATCCCGTACCGCCGATATCTTTCGGGAGCTTAAAGGTAAAAATGGCATTTTATTTAAAAATGCGACACATTTCAGCAGAGCCAGAGACAAAGAGAAGCAGAGACAGATGAATCTTTGAAAAACGGTCCAGACAATGTGATCGGTCTGGAATTGACAGGTACATTGAAGATCAAGTCGCAAATACAACTAAAAAAGAAAAAGAAAATGATGTTTCATTGCGTTTCCCTGCGCATACTGATGAAAATAACGAGACAGTCAAATGGCAAGAATGTCTACTAAACGTTTAACAATTTGTTAATCGTCACTAGACGTTTAATAAATCAGTTAAACGACATCTGTTAATTTTCTCTCTTTGCACGTGAAGCAATTAGGACTCGCTGCCACCCTCTCCTTTCATGTATGTATGATTGTATGCCAATAAGCTGTCCTGCTTTCTTCTTCCCCAAGGGTCTATCTCACTCGCCCTCTACTTTTTTCTCTCTCCCCTCTTTCTTTTCGTCGCTTTCCCGCTGTCTCTCGGTTGCCAAATTCGGCTAGCAACAAACTTTGTTCTAAAGGTTGAGGATAACTTTAAAAAATCACAATTTAGGACACCATCAAATTAACGTTATATACAATGATCCTGTTTATGCCCTTTTCAGAGCCTTCTCGAGATTTCGGAGCATTGATCCTCTTACGGTGGACGAGAACAGCATGACCCGCCTGAGATACGACCTTATTCGGGACAATGTGGCCGAAATCAAGGTGAGATACGCGACTAAAATGTGCTGCACGTGTAAAGAGAAATTCACTTGTTTTGAAACCTGATCAAAAATGCAATAACTCTCCATCTTATAAAAATGAGCTAAATCGCTTTTCAAATTATGTTCAATTGCTTATTCAAATAAAGGTCAGCGTGATTCGGCATAATTATTATTTTTTCCTTCAGGTTAATATATTGATAACGGCTGGATATATTTTTCCACTTTTACCTTTAAAATAAAGATATTTATCAGCAATTGTTAAACCTTGCTCAGGGCCTCGGCTAAAATTTTGACTGGTGGGCCACTTGGGCAGCGACATGGACTGACCTTCGTAGCCATAGCCCACCTTGAGCCCACCCACCCCAATTTTCGATTTCTCCCCAGATTTCGGCCACTTTATTCTGCAAAAAACGTCAGGATGGCATTAAAAAATGTAAAAAAACGGGGTTCGACCCCCCCCCCCCCGATTCTTCAGGGAGAGGAGAGACAAGGGACCCACAACCCTCTCAACGGTGATACTCCGGCAGTGCACATAAAATCGCACAAGTATGCACAAAATATTGACGCAGATTATAAAACTTTGAACGATAACTTACGGCCGGTCGGATGTTAACCCGCGCCCGGCTGGGGGTCCTGGATTTCCACGCCCTGCTGGGGGGTGTTTGAACACCCCCTTGTAACTCGGCTCCTGGGCCACGTAGCGATACGCGGAAAGCGGCGTTCGAAAGAGCGTCAAAAATAATGACGAAATCACTTCGGTCAATTTTTTGGTCAGGTCAAAGGTCAGGTCACCAGAGGTCATTGAAGGCAAAATTTCGCCGATTTCCAGGTCGAATATCGAAAATTTCCAAGAAGCCAACGCATAACTCGGGAACCAATAGAGCTACAGCGCCGCGGAAAAGCGCATTCGATAGCCCTATTAACGCCCTTTCTGAGTAATTCTCTCAGATTTGACCTAACGTCAACAGTTTTGCCTGCAGGGGGCAAAAACTGCAAAAATAGCCGATTTTTTCGGAAACAGTTTTTCTGCAATAACTTTTGACCCAAGCCTTGTACGAGCTTACTTTTACCGGCATCGTGTTCCTCTCGTCAAGGCGCATCGAATGAACTATAACTTGACCTTGAAAGGTCAATTTGAAAATTTGACCTCAGGTCAAGGTCATGACCTGACCGGAAAGGGTCATGTTGCATATCAGTCGATCCGCATCGTCGAGCTGAACACATCTAAGGCGTTTTCATCGCTCTAGCATGCCTCTATCAAAAGTTATTTGCGAAAAACTGTTAGATACCATTCGTGACCTAAGATGACCTCAGGGCATAAACAAGGGTCACGGACACCATTTTCATATTCATTGTGTCTAAACCACTTGTAATTCAGTGTTTGGGAGTGTTTATAATGTCTTTCGTCCAAAAGAGGCGCATTTCAATTTTCTCCCATTGTCTTATAATGGGGAGGTCGCAAAATTGACCTGACCTTAGGTCACCGATATCAAAATTCCGAGATATACATTTTATAGATACTGTTACCCTTATCAATCGCTGAAAGTTTCAAAGCGATCGGTCACTCGGTGTAGCTATGACAGACATTGAAACTTTTTATGAGGTGAGGTCACTTCAAGTGACCTGGTGACCTGACCTTGAATGACCTTGGTCTGAAATTTTCACAACATGTGTAGAATTGATGTATGATAAGGTGTACCAAAAACGGCGGCGCTCCGCGCCGCCGTTTTTGATATATTCGCGAAAAACCACAAGGGGGGGTGTTCAAACACCCCCCCCCAGCAGGGCGCGGGTTAAAAATCAGCGAGCCCTGAGTGGATCGCTCGCCGACTAGTCGGAGATTCGGAAGCGGTCGGAAGAGATCGGGCGTTGTCGGGTGGATCGGGAGGAATTGTGAACAGCACGAGTGCAACTTTATATATAAAGTGGGTTGTAGCAGGAACCCCAAAAGAGGGTTGTAGCAGCAACCCCAACATCTCTGAAAATGATCATTAAGCCTATTGGTGTCGCATGGAAAAGAATTGACTCAAAAGCCCAAGCGCACTGCGCGTGAGTGCGCAACCCTAATATTTTCTTTAAGAAAGTTATGTACACTTCTGGTGAACAGTGTCCGCCGATTTCCTACACGACGTGATTCGGCGATAGGGTCGTGGCCAAAATTCGGCAGTGTAACACGGCCTTAAAGCCGAATTTTGGTACACGAATGTGCACGAATATGCAAGTCATCCTATGTCACGGACCGATTCGGGATCTTTCTTTCACGGTCTTGGCATTTCGCAGACCAGTCGGTGTCCACCGCGTGACTTTTACGGTTTGTCACGACCGCCACGAATATTTCATGAAAAATGAAAATTTCGTGGCCGTTAGCCGAATTTATAATAAACGAACATGATCGCCAAACAGTCGCCGAGTCGCCGCCGACATGTCGCTGCGTGCGTCGACTTGTTGCCAAGGCATCGCCGACTATTCGCAACAGATTCGCCATTCATTCGCGATGTTCGCCGAAACATGGATCAGCTTCGACCCGCGCACGATTAGGGGGGCCCCACCCGTTTTCTGCAAATCGGGCTATGTCGGCGAACTGTTCGCCTCTGTCGGTAAACTGTTCGCCGATTTCCTACACGACGTGATTCGGCGACAGGGTCGTGGCCAAAATTCGGCAGTTAACTCGCGCCGGGCCGGTGCTCTGAGATTCCGCGCCGGGCCGGGGGGGGGGGGTGTCTGAACACCCCCCCCCTTCTAACTCGGCTCCTGGGCCACGTAGCGACACGCAGTAAGCGGCAATCGAAAGAACGTCCAAAATAAGGACGAAAACACTTCGGTCATTTTTTGGGTCAGGTCAAAGGTCAGGTCACCAGAGCCAGAGGTCACCAAAGGTAAAATGTTGACTATTTCAACATTTTGGAAACTGCCAACGGCTATCTCGGGAACCGATAGAGCTACAGCGCCGCGGAAAAGCGCATTCGATAGCCCTTTTACAGGCCTTTCTGAGTATTGTTCTCAGATTTGACCTCAGGTCAACGGTTTAGCCTCCAGAGGACAAAAACTCCAAAAATAGCCGTTTTTACGAAAATCGGTTTTTCGGCGATAACTTTTGACTCAAAAGAGCCATGACATTACTTTTGCCAGCATCGTGTTCCTCTCGTCGAGACGCGTCGAATGAACTATAAGTTGACCTTGAAAGGTCAACTTGAAAATTTGACCTCAGGTCAAGGTCATGATCTGACCGGAAAAGGTCATGTTGCATATCAGTCGATCCGCAACGTCGAGCCGAACACATCTAAGGCGTTTTCAGCGCTCTAGGACGCCTCTATCAGAAGTTATTAGCGAAAAACTGTTAGATTCTGTTCGTGACCTGAGATGACCTCGGGGACATAACGAGGGGTCACAGTTGCCATTTTCTGGTTCAGTGTGTCAATTTTACCTACATCTCGATGTTTGAGAGTGTCTAGAATGGCGTTCGTGCAAAACAGACGCTTTTCAATTTTCTCCCATTGACTTATAATGGAGAGGCCGCAAAATTGACCTGACCTTAGGTCACCGATATCAAAATTCCGAGATATACATTTTGTAGATACTGTTGCTCTAATCAATCGCTGAAAGTTTCAAGGCAATCGATCAATCGGTGTAGCTATGACGAGCATTCTTATTTTTTCTGAGGGGAGGTCACTTGGCGTGACCTGGTGACCTGACCTAAGGCGACCTGGGTCTGAAATTTTCACAACATGTGCGGAAAAGATGTACGAACAGGTGTGCCAAAAACGGCGGCGCTCCGCGCCGCCGTTTTTGAGATATCTGCGAAAAACCGCAGGGGGGGGGGGTGTTCAAACACCCCCCGGCCCGGCGCGGGTTAATATCGCTTGCAGACTTCAATCGGCTGGAAGTCGCCGACACTACCTCTAGTTTGACTCTGGCTTATATCGTGTCTATCGGCCAGCCGTCTGAGATCGCTCGCAGGCTTATCCCCGACTGTCTGAACTGGTCTGTTTTTCCACTTTTTACCCCAAGAGGATATTGCAAACAATAGGTTGAAGTTTTTTCACAAGAATATGTTTCACCGATGGGTACTTTACAGCCTGGAAATGTACGATAAGATCTGCTAGTTCAATTTGAAATGTGAAAACTTAGATTTTTCGGAAAATTACTGGTGGGCCAAATCTTTGAGGCTGGTGGGCCATTTCGGGTCACTGGTGGGCCATTTGGCCCACCAGTTAACATGTTAGCCGAGGCCCTGACCTTGCTTGTATTTTCGCTCCAGTGCAACCCGTTCGGCACCAGGATGTTGATGCTGTTTTCGTCTGAGCATGACGAACGTCTGAGCTTCGAGGACTTCCTGGACATGCTGTCTGTGTTCAGCAGGGCGGCTCCGATCACACTGAAGACCAGCTACGCCTTCCGCTTGTACGGTGAGTGAGGGAGGGGGAAGAGAGAGAGGGAGAGGGAGAGAGAGAGAGAGAGAGAGAGAGAGAGAGAGAGAGAGAGAGAGAGAGAGAGAGAGAGAGAGAGAGAGAGAGAGAGAGAGAGAGAGAGAGAGAGAGAGAGAGAGAGAGAGAGAGAGAGAGAGAGAGAGAGAGAGAGAGAGAGAGAGAGAGAGAGAGAGAGAGAGAGAGAGAGAGAGAGAGAGAGAGAGAGAGAGAGAGAGAGAGAGAGAGAGAGAGAGAGAGAAAAAAAATTCAACCGTGGTGTGCTCAATGCTATACGGCTAAGTTAACCGAGACTTGAAATTTCACCATTACCAATCAATGCTGCATTTTTGTTTAGATTTTGACGGCGACTCGGAGCTTGGCAAGGAGGACCTGAAGCGCGTGCTCAACTATCTGGCCGTCCAGGGGGACAGCGTTCTCTCCGAGGAGGAGAGGGAGACCATCGTGGACAAGGTAAACGCTCAGCGGCAGGCAGCCAGTTGTCGTTCTATGTGCTTTTAATATGGTGTGAAAATGCCGTGTTTCGATGTTGGGACTATAAATATAGCACTATAGCACTCGGCCAATTGCGGCCGGTTTAATTTGTCTATTTTTATTTGTTTTTATTTATTTTATACCCTTATATTTTATATATTTTTTTTTTGCAGCAATTTACACCCAGTTGTAATCTGCCCCGAAGGAACTTCCCTATCATGAAGCATTCGTGACTGTAGGTATCCTGTGACTCGTGAATCTGAACTTGTTTCCAGATCCTGGAGGAGTCAGACATCGCCAGGAGCGGTACCATCAACTTCCAGGAGTTCCAGCACGTGGTGGCCCGCTGTCCTGAATTCACCCAGTCCTTCTCATTCGAGCTCGTCTGAAGTTGTCTGGTGCTCAGTGTTAGTCCCAATGGTCCGGTCCCGCCGACATTACTTAAAAACATGACGGAGCCGCAGAGAGCCCAACTACCTGGACAAATGAGATTGCTGGATGCGGGCAGTGAGCTTATGAACGTTTGTACCTAAGTGACTCCGCAATTTGTGCAATGCCACGTGTGAGTGTTTGTAGGTGAGGGATGTTAGGCGGTATCAATCTATAAATGGTGCATTTTTTGTGATATGTTGAAGTGAACATTCGCCGTATTTTTCTGACTATATGTGTTTGTAGGAGGATATAAGTGAGCTTGAATCAATGTTGCATATTATGTTCTGATCTCGGCAAAGATGTATTATGATCGCCTGGGTCACCGCACAATTGGCACGATTCTTTACATTTCCGACTGTTTACTTTGTATCCATACTCTGCCTGTATTTCTTACTGAGACGAAAACCGTGAAGTAAGGTGCAAGTCATTGGTAAGCGATCAGGTAGATGAGACGTAAGCCAACGGGTGACAAGAGCCGCATTCTGCACGCCGGATGCCGTCCAACATTGCCGTAAAGCCACTTACGACAGATGGCAGCACTGTTCGGCGAACAGACGGCGCTGCTAGCCACTTCGGCCTGGAGTAGGTACTCGACTGATGGCTTTTAGTGCTCGAGACAGACCGGACCGGCTATATGGTGTTTTGTTTGAACACAAATTTGACCCTAAATGAACTTTTACCTGCAGAAAAGTTGACGTTTGGTGCTAACAGGATAAGGGACGATTCAGCTATTTCGACAACATAACAATTCACAATGACCCTCATATCTACTATCTAGGTATGTACTTGAAGAAAACCAAGATACCAAAATAGACACAAGTAAAGTAAAATTGGCACATTTCCAGTTGATGAAACAAACCACTCTTCATTTTTTTTTGCTAGGCAGTTTATGTTTTTGTGTGCTTAAAATCACCAGAAGAGAAAAAAATATTTCCAATGAAATTAAAAATAAATCATATAGAAAGATCTATTTTGTTCATTTTTGTCAGAGGTTAAATAGTGTTTGCCACGGAGGTTTATAACGCATTGACCAACCATATTGCTTTAAACCAACTGCATGCTGATCGGCGCTGACGGTTGGCCTCCGATCCGATACAGGTGGCCGCATTCTTCGCATTCTTCCGTGAGGCACCGCATTCCTCCGAAAGGGACTGATTTCGGAAGTAAAATCGATAGGTATATCTTTGGTGATCGTTGGGTGTAAAAGCTTCAAAATTGTGCTAGTCTCAGCTCAAGCTACC